CCACCCACTTCTCCTCATAACAGCCCCCCATGCCTACCACTACCACCCACTTCTTCTCCCTGTAACAGCCCCACTCCCTACCACTAGCACCCACTTCTCCTCCTAACACCCTCCCCCTCCCTACCACTAGCACCCACTTCTCCCTGTAACAGCTCTCCATCCCTACCATAGCACCCACATCTTCTCCCCCTAACACCCCCCATCACCCACTTCTCCCCCTAATAGCCCCCCTCCCTACCACCATCGCCCACTTCTTCTCCCCCTAACAGCCCCCATCCCTACCACTACCACCCACTTCTTCTCCCCGAACACCCTCCCCCTCCACTACCACCCACTTCTCCCTGTAACAGCCCCCCTCCCTACCACTAGCACCCACTTCTTCTCCCCTCTCCCCCTCAATAACCTCCCTGCCAAGCCCGTGGCTTTGCAAAGAAAAGGGGAGAAGGAAAAAAAAAAGGATCATAGAAGTCAGGGCTTTTTTTCCAAGCTAGGAGGGAAGGGGAGAGAGATTTGACACCCTAAAGCAACAAAGCCAGGCAGGGTGGGAGTGAGGGGACAACCTCTGAGTCAGAACTGCCTGGACCTTCCCTGCTGCAGGCCGCAAGTGGGAGGGGAGGACCCTGCGTACCCTGCTCAGACCTAGGGCTCCCTTCCAGCATCTGCTCTCTGCCACTGAGTGACAGGAGACTTTTTTTAAGATAATTTTTTGTGTTCCAATCCAAATCAAAATCCATGAGTCAGTCTAGAACCATAAGTGGCCCTACAACTAGCAAATATCCTCCACCCCACCTGGGGCTTCAGACGTTTCCAAATCCTTTGGCAGGCATCCTACTTGCAGGTCCAGAGACTTGGGGTTCAGATGCCCCCAAGTTTTGCTTGCCCCCAGCCATATGGCCACAGGAGCAAGTTAGGGAGGAGTCTCCCATTTCCATAAAGTGGGCATAAAGCCAAGACCTTCCCACTCGAGCAAGTGGGAGGTTTACTATATATCACCTCCGTGGGTACTACCCCATGCCAGAAAAGCAGTTATCCCCAGGTGTGACTAGAAAAACTGCCCTGGTGGTCATGGTATTTCCCCAGCCCAGTAAGTGACACAGGAGACTGAACAAGATGCCCCTATGGTCTGATCCCAATGGCAGTCCCTATGCATTTATGACCCCTGATGGCTTCTGTCCTTGGAAAATGAGGAGCAAAAAGCAAGCTGCCTTGAATTGTGTCCATACCCCTGGTTTAGTCTGATAACCAATACACACCAATTTATGTCTAGCTTAGTGAAGGTTAGATTCCCATATACATAAAAATGTTTATTGCCATAAGGAAAGCTGTTAAATCAAACAAATAACCAATGCACAACAATTTATACAAGTAGGACCGCTGCTTTACCTGTTGCAGGTGAGAGTGTTAGGGATGTGTTGGGTCAGGGTGAAGGGTAGCCTTATGCAGTGTTTAGATCACCTTTCTCAACCCATGGATTGGGACCCCAAAGTGGGTGGCAAGAATATATGAAAGAGTGGCAAACAAACTTTAAATATGGATCAACAAACTTTAAAAATGGATTCTCCTTTAAAGGGAGAGAAATGTGGTAAATCATGGGTTTTCTCTTGAAGGCTGGCAGAGTTTCAGCCTGTGAAGGGCTGCTTGGGGCCCCCCATGCCCCGCACAACCCCATCCCATGATCCCTCTGGGAGCCTGGGGGTGGGGGGTTAGGAGTGAGAGGCACTAGGCCAGCAACACTGGCCATTGATGTTTACAGAAGGGTCCTGGTATAAAAAGGTTGAGATCTGCTGGTTTAGATAGGGATGATCCTGCCTCAGACAGGGCTTGAACTAGGTGACCTCTGGAGGTCCCTTCCAGCCCTACTTCTTTATGCCTCTCTGACTCCAGCCCCATCAGGCTTGGGAATCCCAGCTCTCAGTAGCTAATGAGACCAGAAAGGAGACAAGTGATACATGGCTGAGGGGCATCGGCTTCTGTAACTAACTGCATGAAAAGGAATTACATGGCCAAGCTTCGTGCCTAGCTGCCTTTGACACCCGTAGCCCAGGTGATCACATATCCATTCAAAATTGGGTGGCCCCAGGTAAATGCTGAGATGCCTATAGCATCCTGGATCCTGTGCACCCCTTCCTGTCCCCCAGCTCTGCTTCTACTGCAGCTGGTTGCCCTGCAGTGTATTGTTAGTGTGGCCGGGTTTCAGACCACTGCATGAGAGAGAAAGGGGAGAGGGAGAGGGAGAGGGGGTTAATCCATTGGATTGTTTCAATAGGTTAGCTATTAGGAAGAACTTTCTTATGAGGAGGGTGGCTATGCACTGGAACAGGTTACCCAGAGAGGTGGTGGACTCTCCAT